AACACAAATTAAGCTGATTGAGCAAATCCATCCTAAAAAAATTACGAAAGGCGGAACACATAAGAAATAATATTTGAAAATGAATATTTTTTATTTTAAAAATAAAGTTCATTTGTATAAAAAAAAATTAGATATATTATAATAGTATCTTCAAAAATCAAACATAAGCAAAACAATTTTAAAAAATCTTTTATTAAAAAAAAAATACAAAACTCGTGATCTAAGTTATGAAATTGAGATAAACTTATAGAAACAAAATCAAAGATAATCACAAAACTAATATTAAAAAAAAACTAATGCAGAATAATAAGATCATCAAAAGAAAATTAGCAAAAAAAAAAGAAGATGTTGAATGACATTAATTTTTAAATTTGTGACCCGGGTCATCAGATTAGAAGCTCTACAAATAAAAAAATATAAGGTCGAATTCCCAACAAATCAAATGTCAAAACATGAAACTAGGAAAAGAAAATCAATTACATAAAATGATCTAAAAAAGAAGGTGAAAAAAATAAAAAGTAAATAAAAAATTTCAATTGAAGGGTTAATTGAGTTGAAAAAAAAATAAAAATTAAAAGAAAAAAGAAAAACATGTGATAAATTATAATTAAAAGACTAAATTAAAAAAAAAACTTGTATAAAAAGAATAAAAAAAATAACTAAAAAATAAATAAAAGAAAAGAAAAAAAGATAATCATATATTTTATTCGGTTAAAGAAACAAAATATTACATGTCACACCATGTCCAAAAGAAGATAATAACTAATATGAAGAGATGATATAAAGCTAAGTTTGGTTACCGAATAATGTTTAACAAGCAACTTATTTATTAATATGTGTTAAAAAAAATTATTTAAAAAATAAAAATATTAAAATATCAAAACGTCCTGAAATCCCTCGTAATTATTAAAAAAATATGGTGAAATCGTATAAATACCTTCAAATGCAAATTCATTTTTTGTCTTTTCTAAAGTCAATTGCGTATTTTAATTGCATATGAAGAATGAAAAAAGAAAAAACATTGTCTAACAACTCAATAATTTTTTCGATCTTGGGGGTCTGATCGAATAAGAATTTTGTTTTTATGAAACGGGGATCTGATCCAACAAAAAAATAATTTAATGGAGAATTGATTTTTGTTTTTTTACTGACAAAGGACGATTGAGATCGGTTCTTTGCCTGGGAAATCTCTCCAGGCAAAGAATATTGTTGGTGGAGTATGGGACCCACGAACATTGCCTCGGCACCAGCCAAACTCCTGGATTCTCCTCCCATTGGTCCAGAATAAAAACTGAAGGTGATAAACTCAATTGCCCTATTTTTAAAAAATTTAAAATTTATTTATTTATTTTTCAAATTTGTTTTATGTTAATTTTAAAAATAATTTAAAAAAAATATTATTTTAAAACATATTTTTAAATAAAAAAAATACTTTTAACCACGTCATCCAGAATAATTTCAAACATATCTGAAATCCTGCCAGTCGACTAGATAAAAACCAAAGACCCCGCAGGTTGATGACAAACAACTGCAAGGCACTCGATACGAACCTAGTCAACCAAGGCACCTGTCCCCTTCCTCTCCAGTTTGAGAGAGAGACAGAGAGAGAGAGATGGCCATATTATTCTACCGGTCGGTTTCCCTTGCATCGCCAGCCCTTTCAAACCCTAACGTCAGGGACTGCGCATCATGCTTTCGTCTTCGTTAATCTATGGAAAACCATATTTCACCTAACTTTTTTTAAAAAAAAATACTAGATTAGTATAAAATAGTGGTGGTGGTGTATTCAATAATAATTAATATCAAGACATTTATAATATTTCATGTTTTCAAATTAAGATAATATTTTAACACTCATCAAGATATACAAATTACATTTAAGAGAGAGGCTTTGAATTGAATTTGATACGCTCATAGGAGAGATTAGTAAGGGAATTTTATTCCTTGATTTTATTAACAAGCCTCTCACTAACAGGATGTTGGTTAGGTTACTTGTGCGCTAAGTCATAGGTTAAATAAATTTTTTTAATAAAAAAATAAATATACAAGTTTTTAAAATTATTCAAGTGTAAATAATAATAAAATTATATTTTTCCTAGAAAAATGTAAAAAAACTAAAAAAATTAAAATCATGAACGTGGTGTGCAAGTTGTAATTTAAAAAAAATATATTTATCAAGTATATAGAATGCATCAATGCATTGCTTTGCATGAAAAATTAAAGATATTTTTGAAAAGCTGATGCAATTATTTAATTAAAATAAATTGATAATAATTTATGTAAATAAAAAAAAATTGTTAACAGTAACAAAGAAAAAATTTAAAGATGAGATATTTATTGGAATAAGATGAAAAAAAGAGAGGAATTATAATTGAATGACAAATTTGAAAACAAACAAAACTTTTATAAAATGAACAAGAACGAAATAAGAAGTAAAAAAATGAGTACTAAAACTAAAAATAAAAAAACAAAGAATTTTGATTGAAGAATGAAATTGAAATCAAATAAATCTTCAACAAAAGGTCAAATGAAATAAATTAAACATAAAAAGAATAAGAACTGAAATGAAAAAAAATGTATAAGAAATTATAATTGAAGAACTAAATTGAAAACAAACAAAATTTTTATAAAAAAAACAAGAATTAGAAAAAAATAAAAAGAATGAGAATTCAAATTTAAAAGGCAAAAACAAAAAGGACAATGGGGCACTTTATTTAGCAAAAGTGAGAAAAGAGGGAAAAAAACAACAATAAAAGATAATACGAACATCATATGAAGCTATATGCTATATCATGAGGAAAAGAACATGGTAGTGCTTTCAAAGATATGGCTGAAGGTCAAATTTGGACACTAGTAATTTCATTGTCGCTGCCTAAATGGTACGAAAGCCACTCACATATTGGTGTGTAATAACCACGCATCAACTGCTTTCTTAAAAAAAAAATTAAAAAGTCAAACAGCTTTCTTAAAAAAAAAATTAAAAAGTCAACATCCAAAAATACCAAAATATGACCATAGTTATTACCAAAAAACTGTGTGCTAAATTACTAAAGTACCCCCAAATACAAACCTTATTTTTTATCATTTCTAAGGTTAATAACGTATTTTAACTATACTCGAAGAAGGGAAAAACCAAAAAAACCCTCGACCAACCCAATATTTTTTTATTTTAGGGGTAAAGAAGTATTTTAACTATTTAAAACTTTATAAAAAGTAATAAAAAATGTTTTTTCTAATACCACAAAGGGAGCAAACCTCTTGATCTCAAGTCCTTACCACTTGGCCACCACCTAAATGGTTAATTAATAACGTATTTTAACTATACTTGAAGAAGGGAAAAACCAAAAAAACCCTCGACCAACCCAATATTTTTTTATCCTAGGGGTAAAGAAGTATTTTAACTATTTAAAACTTTATAAAAAGTAATAAAAAAATTTTTTGTCAACAATTCTAAATTGTATTGACCTTGAAGGTAAAAATATATTTTTATTGTATAAAATTCTTAAAAAGACTAACATACCCCCAATAATTTCTGAATAGTTAATGAGCTAGTGAAAAAGATCACAACACCTTTACCCTCAATAATTTTTTTTATCCAAGAACAAAACAATAATTTTACTATAGCAATTTACATAAATTGTTTTTAGTGTCACAATAAATATCTCACGCCCTATATATTTTTGGTAAATATTTTTTTTTATCAAAATCCAATATTTTACCCTTTTTTTTATATATTTCAAATATCAAAAAAGTGTTTTTTAGTAGATTTAGTAAATTTTAATTATTTTAGTCATTTTTGTTAATAATCATATAAACTACAAAAGAAAAACAAAAGAACGTGCATAAGAGTAAAATAATATATATATATATATTGAAATCAAGTATATTGTTAAATTAGGAATTTTTTGGTTGTAATTAAGAGTTTGAAATCAAAACAATAATTGAATATCACACGTAAAAATTAAGTTTAGGAATTTTTTGGTTGTAATTAAGAGTTAAATTGAAGAAAATTACTTAATTGTTTTAATTTGTCTAAAACTAAAGAAAATGGAAGTTTAAGGATGAATTTGAAATACATATCCAAGTTATAAAATCTAATAAGAACTTAATTCAAAAAGAAAAATGAAATTGCATACCGTATGAGCTTACAAATGAAGAATTAAAGAACCAAGGACTCATACCAGAGCAATGAAGATAACGAAGGGCATCCTTTATTGGCGTCGCTAGAATCATCTTGAAGGGACCTTTATTATGCGATGACAAGTATTGGAGAAGAAATACAGTGCCGTTTCAGCCAATCATTATACTTTTATTTATTTTTGTTTCTTTTATATATCCTCCTCTCATTTGTTTTCACCTTTTTTGTCAAAATTACCTGAGTGTATTGTTAAATTTTTTATATTAAATTTAATTTTTTAATTTTAATTTATTTTTTAAGTTTTTAATTTCATTCTTTATAGTTAATTTAAGTATTGATAATTAAATTTCATAATTTTTTAACTTATTTTCTATAAAATAATTTTATATATCAAGTCGTATATTTGAAAAATTAATCTAGGTTAATTTAAATTTTTTTATTTTTTTATTTTTTTTTATTTTCTATAAAATAATTTTATACATCAAGTCGTATATTTGAAAAATTAATTTAGGTTAATTTAATTTTTTTTTTTTTTTATTTTATTTTTTAATATTTAATTAATTTAAGAGTTAAGTTTTATAAAGTTTTATTTACTTGGATGGAATTATCTTTATCTTAATATTTAATATTTTTAATTATTGCAAAACTAAATTGCGACTTTTTTTTTTTTTACTTGTTATACACCTGGCTATCAGAGATCCCTGTGAATATATATTTATGAATTTTTTAAAATAAGAACTTTATGTGAACTACCTTTTCTAAGGAACAAAATAAGCAGTGAACCGATGTGACGATACAGGGTTAGAATAGTTCAGCGTTTGGACCGCGTATGTCCCAAGTGTGACTCAAGAAGTATTTTATTTTCCTATAAATACAAGTTAAGCATCTCCTCTTCCTCCATTCCACAATAGACTTGAAGCGTAAGAGAGTATTTCACCGAAATTAACTGCCTTCGGTTTCTGTTGCAGTTGAGAATGAAGGTAAGTATTTTCTCCTACAGAACTTGTCACACTGTTTACGGCTTAATTTATGTGAGATTCATTTTCCTTAAACTCATAGAATAAGAAATGCAAGCTTTTACTATATGTGATTAACATTCACGTAAAAGGGAATGTTTGTTGTTCAACGGTGCAGCAAAAAATAGTTATGGAGGTATCAATGAACTCCAGCAAACACAGAACGAAGGCTATGAAGATTGCAGCCGTCGCAAACGGTATTTAGCATTCCTTAATTTCCGAATGAACATGTTTTGCTTTCCAGAACTGTACGATGATCACGAGACTTACCATGTCAGAGAAATACTGATACTGACCTCCGCAAATTGCAAGGAATAAATACATTTTGGTTCATTTAGTAATCTTTTTTAGTAGGTGTGGTCGTTTCATGCAACTAATATTGAACAAACTCTTCATTTTCTTCTTCTTTCTTTGTTGTTTTCCCTTCATACACGCGTCATATAAACTTTTCTAAATGTTTATTATGTAACAGTAACATGTTATGAAATCCTACATGGGTTCTGATACGGAGTTATTATGTTGGACAGGTGTGAATTCTGTGGAAATAGAAGGGTCAGACAAAGTTGTGGTGACTGGGGATGAAGTTGATTCGGTTAAGCTGGCCCGTGCCCTCAAGAAAAAATTTGGGCATGTTATGATAGTGAGTGTCAAAGAAGAGAAAGAAGAGAAAGAAGAGAAGAATTCGGAAGAGAAAGACGTGCTGTCTTGGCCAAATAATTACTTTCATCACTATCCTCCAACTCTGGTGTACGAAGACATTTACTCTCCACGCCAACCACCTCCTTGTTCCATCCTTTGAGATGTATCAGTATAATCTTCCTTGTTATATATGAGATATCAAAGATATATGTTCTTGTGATTTGCGAATTCTATAGTTAAGCTCGAGGATGCATGCAGTACTCACAGCTTCAGGATCGTAATATTGGGCATCATTCACAGAAAAGAGTTTATTTCATTGTCTTAGAACCATCATTTTGATTAATTTGACAATATTTGAGCAAACCCTTTGAGGTTCGTTACAAACTCTTAAAAAAAGACTAGAGAAAAAACCTTTAACACCTAAAATACCCCACAATGGATTTAAAACTACTTTATGTTCATCGATTAGCCATTTTAATTTTTAAATGTTAACGTCGAGATTCACTTCAACGTTAAACTAAAACTACCACTTATGCATATAATATAATTAAGATGGATTCATGTAATTCTATTAATTAATCTAGGTTTTTATATTCATATAATTCTATTAATTAATCTAGGTTTTTATATCAGAGATGATATCCATCCTAGCACTTGAAATAAAAGGCGTGGGCCGGAAGGGATGCTGGCTGCTGTTGATGCTTCCAAACGGAAGCCAGGCAACTTTGTGGTAAACGGGGAGGTGGATTGGTATTGCCGAGGGAGGGAGGATCTATTGGTGTTGTTGCTTTCTTTTCTTTTTTCTTTTATTTATCTATTTGTATCAGATAATTCATACATAGGTGCAAGATTTTTCTCAATTTATAATTATCGACAAAATTTCCATCGGTGCTTTTAATTAAATACTACTGATAGAAAATCCATCATCTATCTTTTTCCACCATTAACACATAGATTACCCTTTTTGATGTAATATTTTTTATGGATATTTTCTGAAAAAATGAAATAATTATCCACTGGGTATTTTCATACATGATTTTTTTTAAGAATATTATTGAAATAATATCTAATAGAAAAGGGCTGGAAGAAGGTTATGTCGGAAATTAGTTGTTTTTATTTTCCTGAAAATTTAATTTTTAAATTAGATAGTTTCCGATAGTGGGATAATTTGTTTTTATTTTCCTGAAAATTTAATTTTTTTTTTAAATTTTTTTTGTATTATCTGAATCATTTGTTTGGTTTTCTTAATATAAATAATCTTTTTCTTATTTTTCAGAAATTGAACTTTTTGTTAACGAATAATTAAACTATACCATCAAAACATTTAAAATATCTAGTTATATAAATAAAAGTTAACTTTTGATATAATGGAGGTTTATGTAAAACATTAATTATTCACCATATCTTTAATGTTTGCCCGCAAAAAAAAAAAAATCCAAAACAAATTCCTTGTAAGCAAGTAGGGTAAGGTATCCAAGTGTCAAGGCACATCTTTTTTAAGTGAAAAATGTTTATTTTTTGAGTCTTGCACCAGCAAGCTCCAATGGTGATAGTCAACAATTTCCTAGAGGTCATGGACGCGAAGAGCAAATTAAATCTATATATTAAAGACTAAACAAGTAATAAATGACAGAAGAGCTAGACATTTTCGACCGTCGACTCGCGAATTGGAAATTTCAGAGCAACAAAGCTAGGAGAGGACAAAGGTGAATTATACAATCAAAATCATGCTGGACCCGAATGACAAGTTTTAGAGACTTTACATCCCCTTGACTACGAAAAACAATTTAATTTGCCCAAGTAGTTGCTTTCTTTCGTGCTTTTGATAGAAATTACGTTGAATGGGTCTTCCTCAGGTGGCGCGACGGGAACTTGGCTTTTGTTTTTTTTTTATCTCGCGTATTTTTATTCTATTTGTTAACCCGCACCACACTTCAGTCCAAGCATTTTATTTTTCTACTTAAAAAGCCTTAAAAAAAGTGTTAGAATAAAAAATAAATAAGAATTATTGATTTAAATAATTAAAAAATATTGATTTGAAAGTAATTACTATGTTAAGTAAATAAATTTTAAAAAATATTGGTTTTACTTAAAATTATTCAATTTACTTGCAAACTTATATTAAATATTTATCAATTATCTATGTATATACAAATTTATATATATTAATTTATGAAAATTACAACTTGATAATAAAGTTAACAAAAATTAAAATGAATTTATTAAATAAATTAATATTTATTTCATCACAACATATCTAAATCAATAATTTAATATAAATTTTAATAATTTTCAAACAAATATAATTTTACAAATATGAAAAAATGACGGACCTCACCGCATATATTTTAGCTTGTCTGTATCTCCAAAAAAAATAACATAACAAATATGGATGCTCACGTAGCTTCGTCAGGTGTGCTGCCAAGTCGACGAGCAGGGCCTCATAGGTGTTTGTTGAAAGTGTTAAGCTCAATAATTTTTGTTATCGGGCATAGTTAGATTCATTAAAATTTAATATAATTTCTTTTATAAATTTGAAAACCTTAAAAAAAGTGTTAGAATAAAAAATAAATAAGAATTATTGATTTAAATAATTCAAAAAATATTGTTTTGAAAGTAATTACTATGTTAAGTAAATAAATTTTAAAAAATATTGGTTTTACTTAAAATTATTCAATTTACTTGCAAACTTATATTAAATATTTATCAATTATCTATATATATACAAATTTATATACATTAATTTATAAAAATTACAACTTGATAATAAAGTTAACAAAAATTTAATATAATTTCTTTTATAAATTTTTATATAAAATTTACTGGAGTTTATTTCTTAATAAATTTACTTATTTAAATAAATTTATATTCTATCAATATTATTAAATTTATTGAAATCTTTGGTAATCAGTCATATCTTTATTTTTTTATTAAATAAAATGAGTGTAAAATTACTCATAATACAATTTAAAATATTATAAAATAAAATAATATTTTAATTTTTTTTATATATATAAAAATAGGATTCATAAGTTATAAATTTATAATTTTTATTTTAGAAATCTTTAAAATAAAGGTTTATAATTTTCATTTACGATTACCGATACTGATATATTTTTAGAATATTTTTTTCTAAAATATTATTGATTTTTTTTAAATATGTTTATTTAATTTTCAGAAAAAAGTTATCTTTACCTATCAAATATAAACTACCAACTAAAAAAATTAAAGAAAATAAATAAAATTATTAGTATTGATTTGTAATAAAATTACTGGACAACTTGAATTTTTGAGACTTATTAAGTGAGAAAAAAGAACTCCACCCCAAAAATTAAAAAACAAAAGGGACTTGCAATCAGGATTCAGCAGAAAGTTTATCCAATAATTGTATTCTTTCGTGCTTTTGATAGAAATTATGTTGAATGGGACTTCTTCAGTTGGCGCGACGGGAACTTGGCTTTTGTTTTTTCTTATCTCGTGTATTTTTATTTTATTTGTTACCCGCACCACACTTCAGTCCAAGCATTTTATTTTTCAACTTAGAAAACCTTAAAAAAAATGTTGGAATAAAAAATAAATAAGAATTATTGATTTAGATAATTCAAAAACTATTGGTTTGAAAGTAATTAACTATATTCGGTAAATAAATTTTAAAAAATATCGGTTTAACTTAATATTATTCAATTTACTTGCAAACTTATATTAAATATTTATCAATTATCTATGTATATATAAATTTATATATATTAATTTATGAAAATTACAACTTGATAATAAAGTTAAAAAAATTAAAATGAACCCGTTAAATAATCTATTATTTATTTTATCACAATATATCTAAGTCGGTAATTCGACATAAGTTTTAATAATTTACAAACAAATATAATTTTACAAAATCTAAAACAAACTATAATAAGTATAAAATTATAAATTCATACTATAAATTTATTTGAGAAAAAACAATAAAACAAGTAAACTCCCAAACAAAATACATATACTAAAACAAATTCAATAATAAAATTGAAATTTTAAAATTGTGTTTTTTTTTAAAGATAGATTTACTTACTAAAAATAAAATTAAAATCCATAATAAATCAGAATGCAGATGTTATAATTACAAAAATTGAAGAACGTGAATTGTGTTGATATAAGGGGGGATGTTTTGTTTAATAATTACAAAAATTAAAGAACGTGAATTATGTTGATATAAGGGGGGATGTTTTGTTTAGATGCAAAGGGGAAGAAGAAGAATAAAAAGAAATAGGAAAGGAAAGAGTCAATAATCAGATCATATATTAATTATTATAGATGAAATTATTGACGGAATATATTCATTTGTAAATCCATCGGCCATTCTATCAATAAAATAGACACGTCACTATACGAACATCTTGGTTTGAATCCCATTATAATTTTGTCAATAAAATTGTCCATAAAAACTTTTATGTCATCACACTGATTTGTTTTTTTTTAAATTTTTTATATTCCATCTGTGATTCCATTGGTATATACTAACATAATGTTTTTATCAATATGTATTGATGATTTAGCAAGAGAAAAATTCAGTTGGTAATTATTACCGTAAAATACTAACAAAAACATTATGTCAACAATTTTGTTTGTATTTGTTTAATTTTTGGTAGTGTTAGAATAAACACTAAACCAATTTACTATAAGTAGGGTATATTAGGAGCTGATACATTTTTCTTTTACACAATCACTCCCTTTATCTAAATTTTCAAAGACCATTAGGTTTTCTAGTGATTATCATATTAAGTAGTGATTATTTTTTTTATTTTACTGATAAATAACAATAATTTTTTATTTTTTCCACCAACATCATTCTTAATATTCTCAATAATTTTTTATTTTTTCCACCAACATCATTCTTAATATTCTCTTTATGAGAGAACAATCACTGTAATACTGTATAGATATGATATCTTTAATACTTTTTTAAAAAACTTATTTTCATAAGAATATTGTTTTTATAACAACTCTTAAGAATTATTAAAGCAAGTTTTAATGAAATAAAAACCATGTTTGACACAAATGTATTAAAAAAATTTAAAACAACACACTACTTATGTTTTGGTGAAAGGAACTTCTTGGAATCTATTTTTTTTAATTTAATTAAATAATAATAAAAATAGATAAACATGTGCATGCATATGAAAGGTAATAAATAAAATTTTAAAATATAAAAAATCATAAAAAT